ATATGTTATCATAAGTTAAGTATTTCCTTGCACCATGACAGGCTAAATTCAACTACGTTTGACGGAAAACAAGTAATAAAGTAAAACACTTTGTTTATGTTATTCTGGATGCAAACATCATATGAATGGATACGGATTTAATTGTTTATTAAGTTTATCTTTATTTATTGTTTTTCAAAACATATTATTCACAAGTTTAATTAATAAATGTATGGCAAAACTGAATAATATGTTTATTTGTATGACATGATTAATAAAACGTATATTAAATTGCTATACAAAATATTAACATTATGTCATGATGCTTTTCCTTACCTCATTGAATCATTCATTGTGATATCATCCACAACATAACACAATTTCGTACCTTTTCTAAACATATTAAGCAGATAAATTAATAACTGGAATGAGGTGTATATTTTTCATTGTTTCACGGCATTGTTTTATACTGTTTTATGCTTCACGAACATACATTTAAGCTTCATTTGGAAACGTTATTCACTAGGACCATGTTAGCGTACTGTAAAACAAACCAATTAATGAAGCATTTTTCATAGTTTCAAAGCAGTTTGAACTTTTACCAATAGGGGTTTCAATGAAAACGCCATTTGTCACAATATGCTCATGCGGTTAAGGACTAACAAATTCATTTTATAAGCATGTACTAACCTTTTTTGTGGTTTAATAAAAACGAACTCTTGAAATTTTAGTACATCATTTTTTGGATCTTCATATTACTATCAACAACAATTCTATTCACACGAAATCTATGATAAAAGAGATGACTTTGATTTTTGTATAGTTAATTATCCACATTTAGATGGAGACGTACCCCATGCAACATCTTACGGGGTTTATGTTTCTCAGTTAATTAGATTCGCTAGAGCTTGTAGCAACGTAAAGGATTTCAACGAGCGGAATATTTTTATTACCAGCAAGCTTCTAAAACAGGGCTCACGCTATCATAAATTACGGAAATATTTTACTAAATTTTACAATCGTAACTTTGATTTAATTTCTAAATTCAATAGTGATTTAAAAACTCTTCTGCGACAAGGGATTAGCCAGCCTGGTTTTTATGGCGATGTGATTTACAAACTTCGTAAGATTTTGGGTCATGGTGATTTTTCTGCTGTTTTTACTAAAATCATTAAACGTTTTATTAAAAGAGGTTATGACACTACTACTTTAAGATATACTGCATGTTTAGTGTTCAACCCTTTTACAGTTGGACACTACGCTTTCCTCTTTTGATTGCATCTGACGGACCAAGTGGGAGACTCTCTGATGGATAGTTCGTAAAGCCCTTTGGGACTGAGTTGTCTTAATGTTCGTCTTCTGCCTTGCTTCGTCGGGCCCTTGTAGGTGATTTTCTTGTTGCTCTGTCTTCCTTTAGGACATTGAGTACTTTTGTTATGGTAATTGGGTTTACTTTTATATGTTTCTACATGATCATTTTAGTGTTTTACTTATTTAACCTATTGTAACCATGACAACTGTTAGAATTTCACTTGGCAGGGATTCATTTTATTTACACTGTCTCGTTTATTAGTCCCCTACCGGTTTACCGGAGGGGACTTTAGGTTTACCCTCCGTCCGTCTGTCCGTCCGTCTGTCCGTCCGTCCGTCTGTCTGTCAGTCCGTCAGTCCGTCCGTCCACAAAACTGGATCCCGCGATAATTTGAACAGTACTGAAAATATTTTTATGAAACTTGGTATATGGATAGATGGCAGTATAGAGATTATGCACGTCTTTTTCTTTTCTTCCTATGTTGAAAATTATGGTTGCTATGGCAACAAATAGGCTGAAAATATGGCAAATTTTACACATAAACTGGATCCAGTGATAAAGCAAAAAGTACTGGAAATATTTTTATGAAACTTGACATATGGGTAGATGGCAGTCTTGGGATTATGCACGTCTTTTTCTTTTCTTCCTCTGTTGAGAATTCTGGTTGCTATGGCAACACATAGACTGAAAATATGGCAAATTTTACACATGAACTGGATCCAGTGATAAAGCAAAAAGTACTGGAAATATTTTTATGAAACTTGACATATGGGTAGATAGCAGTCTTGAGATTATGCATGTCTTATCTGTTCTTCCTATTTTGAAAAAATATCAGTTGCCTTGGCAACAAATAGGCTTAAAACATGGCAAATATAACAATATTTGTGATAAGTCAAAAAGAGCTGAAATTTTTTATGAAATTTCATCTTTAATTCAAGAGTTATCTCCTCTTTAAGAATTTTACTTTTAAAATGTTATATTTTGGTAACAGGGATGTTTCAAATATTAAGTTTAGAGTGTCCTTCAGTCCGTCTGTCCGTCTGTTCATAAAAACTGTTTCCTGTGATCACTTTTAAAGAACTTTTCCAACAAGTTTACTTAAAATAGAGAAAAATTGAAACATTAGTGAATGGCCAATGGCCCTTCAGAATGTTGATGGGGTTCTAACCGGTAGGGGACTTATGGATTGCTTGCAATACTATGATTATTGCTTGTAGGAACATGGTGGGGCTAAGAGCGAGGTTTGGTGCACCATTGGCCGGTTTAAACTCCCCAGCAGTCATTATTATGCTGCTGACCGTTCCAAGGCGGCGCCTCACTGTGTTCCTCAGATGTATGTCTATGTTGTTTAATACTGTTTTGGTGACGCTTTTGCTTGTGTCCCTTGTTGTTTTCTTGTCTACGGCAAGTGTCTTCCCCATTGCCTCTGGTTTTTGTTTCTTTGATTAACCCCCACCTTCCCCCGGTCTCCTGTCCCCTTCCCCTTTGTGGCCTGTTATTCTTTTCTTTGAATTCCTAATCGGTTACTAATTGTTTGTCATTTAATAGTTGACCTGTCCGTGCTCTGTCTTTGCCCTGTCCTGTTTTTGTTTGGGGTCCGTCTGGGCTCCTTGCCATTGGTTCTTGTTGCTGGGTCATATGGGGTTGCGTTCATTGAACGCCGCCTTACCTTGTTGATCTTGTTTATCATATTTTAATATTAATATGTTAATAATGATAATGTTCGGCGCGGAATGGCCAATTATGTGTCTTTGTGCCGTTAAACAAGCAAACAACAAACAACCTTATATTAAAATGAATCAATAAATGTAATGATATAATGTTGTTGTTTGTGAGAGCATCTGCCGAAAAATCATTCATTGTGATATCATTGACAAAAAACACATACAATTTCATACTTTTTAAAAGAATTTACCTGAGAAATGATTTGTTGGAATCTAATTTGAAAAGGAAGCGTACGTTTTCGCTTGTTTCATGTCATCATTTAGTCTAATTCCACATGAACATACAATGAGCTTCATTTGGAAAACGTTATTCACTAGAACTGTGTAAGTGTGCCGTAAAATCATTCCGAATGGCTATATATCTTATTATAAGTGAAGTATTTCATAGCATCATGACAGGCCAAACTCAACTACATTTGACGGAAAAAAGTAACAAAGTAAAATACTCTGTTTATGTTATTCTGGATGCAAAAATCATATGAATGGATACGGATTTTATTGTTTATTAAATTTATCTTTATTTATTGTTTTTCAAAACATATAATTCAGAAGTTCAATTGATAAAGGTATAGTAAAAATGAATTTATTTGTATGCCATGATAAATATGATGTATATTAAATTGCTATAGAAAATGTTTACATTATGTTTTGATGCTTTTCCTTACCTCTTTGAATCATTCATTGTGATATAATCGACAAAATACACCACAATTTCATACTTTTTCTAAACAAATTAACCAGATAAACTAATTATTTGAAATTAATTTGAAATTGAAGTGTACTACATTTCTCATTGTTTCTTTCTCGGCATCGTTTTATACTGTCTTTTATACTTCATGAACATACATAAAGCTTCATTTTGAGAACGTTAATTACTAGAACTGTGATATTGTGCCGTGAAACCAACCAGACAATGAAGCATTTTATAGTTTCATAGCAGTTTGTACTTTTAACAGGAGGCTTTTCAATGTAAATGCCATTTTTCAAAACATGCTCATGCGGTAAAAGAGCTAACAAACCAAATTTATAAACATGTACTAACCTCTTTTTGAGGTTTAATATTCTTATGTTAACAAAAATACAATTTCATACTTTTTATAAACAAATTAAGAAGGAATTTGAAGTGTTCATTGGCATCGTTTTATATCTGCAAAATAAGAAGATAATAATAAAAGACTATTACCGACCCATTTAGTTTAAAAAAAAACAACAACACAATTTAAGACAAATAATAACTTACAAACATTAGATCATTATCCATTATGACCCACAAGTTTATATGAAATATGCACTAGTTAAACTGCATGCCATCATTACCATTAAATGTAACCTAAGCACTTTGTTACTAGTAATCTTGAGCCTATACTAATAAAAATAGTATAATATTATTTAACATCAGAAACATAATCACTGTTAACTGGCTACCATGGATAATATATATTTATCCCGCCATTATGTCTTAACTTCTAATTTATAAATAACAACCTCTGAAAGAATTTACAAAGAAGGACAGAATAAATGATAACATGTCAACAAACAAAATTTGATATTAGACAGTTTGATATACAAATGTTATTTGGCTACCAAGGATCAGACATAATCCTGGCAATTTTATATAAAATAATACTTGGCTACCAAGGAACATACATAGTCCAGCCAATCGAAATAAATAAGCCATCAAGAAAAAAACAAAGTCCCACCTCTTTTATATACATATGTTATATGGCTACAAAGGATTCGACATAATCCTGCCAATTTGTAATTAAATGTTATTTGGCTACCAAGGAAAAGTCATAATCCCGCCATTATGAATAAAAATAACTCAAAAGTATATCAAGTGTATATAAAATATACTTATTACCACATATAAGCCACCAATCTAGAAAAATAAGCCAATTATTACAATGACATCTGACTGTACCTCACAAGACATAGAACCAAACTAAAATTGAATCATGCAACAATTTGAAGCACTTTAATTGGAAGGAAATTTTTTCAAAAAAAAAATTTCCTTTCTATAGTATCGGTCTGCCTATATCAAAAAAGAACGAACAACACCTAATTGCATTCTGTTTAAGCTCAATAGAAAATAAGTAGTTAATGCGACCAAGAAAGTAGTGCAGCAGAACTATATGTATACTTTCAAACGTGGATGACTTGAAGAAAAAGCTGATGTTCAAAAAAACTTGAAATGATGATATTCAATGTTAGCTAACATCAATGGAACATAATCTTAAACGTGTACGAAAAAAAAACATCAGTATTATTACGCATTAGGCCAAAGAAAAGTTTGTATCCATGTACCTATGTACAATAAATTGAATATAAATAAGGTGTAATTTTGTAGCAGAGATGCTGAAAAATTCACATGTAAGTCAACCGAAGGGAAATGAAAGTATTTATTGTATATATTTAGCAATTTATTGAATAGCATTTTATGCCACCGCTGATTTTTTTACGTCAATAACTCAAGAGGAAACAATGGATACAATATGTGGCCTTAAAAAAGCGTACTATTTTCGCAAAAAATGGTTCGCAAACTTTCATAGAATCAAAGCGTTTGAAACAAAAAATATTATTATATAAATAAAAAAAACAAGATAACAATACAAGTCTTTCAAAGGTATTCTGGAATTAACGGATGCAATTTGGTAAAACTTGGTTTTGACTAGTAGGGCACACCCCGCCATTGTTCGGACCATCGACAGAATAACGTTCGTGTTTTTCAGATTTCTCCATCCAAGACATAGATTTGCTGATGAATAACATCGCAAAGGTTTGTGGAAATGCTTTTATTTCTTTGTTCAAAATCGTTTTGTGTTTGCAGATGTTAATTTGTTAGACAAACGAAATTAGGTCAAGGATTGTTTACATTATTGAATTTACAGGTAAACTCGGCCCTATACCAACTCGGGACAGGTCAACTCGGTCCTCTATTAAAACCATATAGCCTGTTAGGATATAGATTGTTTGGATTGTTTAGTTAATAAAATATTGTTTGAAATTATCTTTAAGATAAATAATTATCTTAAGAAGAGATATCAAGACAATATATGTTAAATATTAATCAATAAATAGAGTTTTTAGATTGAAATTTTGTGACAATGTAAATTTATTCTTTCTCTACAATTTCACATACTTTTCAATATCCTTGAGTAGATGTCTGTTAGTGTGAAAATGTTAAACCATGACAGTTATGATGAAAACATATCAAAAGTAAGAAAAGTAATCATTATCAGTAATTATGTAATTATGGGCCGAGTTGACCCGTGCTGAGTTGGAATAGGGCCGAGCTGTCTCGAGGGCCAAATACGTTTAAGGGCAGATCTGACCCTGATTCGAATTTACAGTGTTGGCTGTTGTGAAGGATTTGCTTTTTCATTTATATTGTATATAGACTATCTATTAACATAGAAATAAGTTTATAATATGTTATATTCAACTGTTGTGTACAATTGATATTCGATAACTGTATAAAAATTTATCATGGCCCTCTTGATTTTTATTTGGCGAGGTCCGAGGACAGGCAGCCTTTCGCACAGACTGCAATTTGCAGTTGGTATAGTAATTTTTAGTGTTTGATGATCAGAAGATTTTTTCCTTCTGAAAATCATGGACTTGAATAATTCAAATCTGTGTGAAAGCGCAAAGAGAAAGAGACTGAAAATTAATTTATTATTTCTATGGACAATATTGATGTAATAAATTTGTAATAAAACATGTGGGTCAATTTCCAGCAGTAATTGAATCATGACAAAGTATTTTTAATAATTTTATTTTTACTTGTGGCTACTTGAAAATTTCATGCTGGATGTTTGCTTACCATTACATTTTGCATAAGAGCTCTATGATTGACATTAAAGTCAACGGGCCAATTCATTTCTGATATATCTATAATCTTTCCGATATCTTGTTATAATATAAATGACTGAACATCATTGTAGAATTATAAGGAAAAAATATATAATATAATATGTTCATTCTTTGTAAAAATGTTAGAAGACTTGCAAGTTACCGACTTTATCATTGCATTTATTTATTATTGAAAAAATGCTGAACAGCTAGTCTCAACAGTGTTTATAGGCTAGAATTTTCAGTTTGCATTAGGGCCAAAATTATTAAATATATTGTTAGTCATGACGGCTTTCCCATTGTTGTCATCAAACTTTAACCTTGTTCATAACTTTTTCAGATCTTGGTGTATTGTCTTCATACTTGGCCACAACAACCCTTCAAATAGACCAGACTAAACTAAATTAACTTGACCACCATATTAACATTCAAGGTAAATGTCTAAATTTTCTTGTTTTTTGCTATTAGTGGCTATAATTTGTTATTTTTGAATGGATTGTCTTCAAACTTGAACAACAATCTTTCAGGATAGGACCTGACTCACTCATAAATGTCCTTGAAGCTTTTGTGATCAGAAGTTGTACAGAATAATACAAACCCAGAGCAATTTCATTCACTTGGTTTTTTGCAACTTCTGAGAAAATGGATTTTAAAGATAGTTGTTTTCTTGAAATTTCAGGATAATTGTTTTCTTGAAATTTCAGGACAGTATAGTAGATAGTAAAGACATTTAATACATACTGTATATACACTATAATTACTATAGTATACTATAAAAATCTTTATGCTTGGACAATTTTGAACAAATTGTTTCTTAAACAGTGTAAGAAGTTAGGATTTGAATCGACTAGGCAGGTCAGACTACTAGATTGGAATATTCACTTGTCCAAAAGACATTTCACTAGCACGATTCATTTGTTCAAAACAGTTGTTTATATTGCCTCTGAAAATACAGTAGCCTGGTCAGGCTTGTTACTGTGAAAAGTTGATAGCCCGAGGAGAAATTTAGTAGTTGGACTCTCAGACTACTGCTAATTTCGAACACTGCTTAAATTATTGATTTGATATTAACTAACATAATTATTGGGATACTATATGTATATCTAATAATAATTATATTTTATGTTTCAGAAGTTCGGCCTACATGTCAGATTTATGAATGTGGACAGCAGGATATCGATTTTAAGAATGCTTTAGGGTCAATGACAATGAAATCACGAGAGATAAAGGCTAAATGGGAGACTGTCAATCTGACTAACCTTGAAGTGAACAAATGGAAAAAATGTCTCTTTCAATAGCATGGGCTTTTAAGGAAGAGGTACATGATTATTTAGAAGTATTTGTATATGATATTTCTTAATTATTATATTCTAATAGCTTTTTTTTTCTTGACTTGTTTAAAGGCTGACACAGGACAGTTTATTTTAAGTCAGTGAGCTTCGGTCACTGGATAGACTATTGTCACAAAAAGCCAAATTTATAAAAAAGAATTACAGTGTATTTAAATATCTTATACAAGAAATTAGGAACAAAATTAATTGCAAGAACAATTGTGACATGTAACATGTATTTAGGATTTCAGCTTTCTTTTCCTTTTTACCTCAGGACAATTCACATTAAAATATTGAATATTCACAGTAAGTAGTGTTAGCACTCCGACATATCTGACATATATGATCATCTTATCATCACTTAGCTGTCTATAGCTTATCAGAATCACTCACATTTATGAATTTAAATAATTTTGAGAAAATTGCTGCTTAGCAAATAGATAAAATACTTGGGGTGTCTGTGACTGATTGGTTTAGTTTCTTGATTTTAAACCTTTAAGCCTTTCACTGCTGTAAGTTCGTTCTCGGCAAGGGTTTACAAGTGGAATTTTAATTTTGCAATTGACTTTTTCTAAACAAATATTTCAGGAAACAGAGGCGCTTCTATGATAGAACAGTAAAAGCAGGAGTGATAAGGAAAGATACATGTAGAATAAGATGTGTCTTCATGTCTGAAACACTAAAGAAATAGAAATATTGTGGTTTTATGAACTTTAAAAGAAATTGGAATATCAGGAGACTGCCTGCCCTTTGCAATGTTGGATAATGAGTTCTTAGATGTGATGTCGAAAGCCTCATGAATATAGTACCATGACTTAATCTAATTAGAAAAAGAAATAACATTGAGGAGAAAACTAGTCACCAGTCTTTCACCAAGAACTAGAGATAACTTTCCAATATTTGAAATATCATAATATGTATAGAACTTTATTGAGCCACCAGTTTTTCACCAGGAAAATAAGATCACATTTACTATTTTTAGCTCACCTGTCACAAAGTGACAGGGTGAGCTTTTTTGATCGCTTTTCGTCTGGCGTCCACTTTAAATGACATCTCCTCATAAACCACTAAGCCAATTTCATCCAAACTTCACAGGAATGTTTCTTTGGTGGTCACCTCTAAATATTGTTCATAGAACGCTGGTTGCCATGGCAACCAAAAGAAAAAAACTTAAAGTATCTTCTTTTAAAGAACCTAAAGAGCTAGAGCTTAGACAAAGTATCTTCTTTTAAAGGTATGAAACATCTTCTAGTGAGTGTCTACCAAGTTTGTTCAAATAAAAGCCCTGGGGGTCAAAATTGGCCCCGCCCCAGGGGGTCATTGAATTCCCCTATATGCATATAGTAAAAACTTAAAAATCTTCTTTTAAAGAACCAAAATAGCTAGAGTTTAGATATCAAGCATGAAACATCTTCTTGTAAGTGTCTACAAAGTTTGTTCAAATAAAAGCCCTGGGGTCAAAATTGGCCCCTCCCCAGGGGTCATTGATTTTCCTTATATGTGTATAGCAAAAACTTAAAAACCTTCTTTGAAAAAACCTTAATAGCTAGAGTTGAGATATTAAGCATGAAACCTCTTCTGGTAAGTGTGTACAAGGCCAAACCCCAGGGGTTTCATTGTTTTTAACTATTTGTGTATAGTAAAAACTTAAAAAATCTTCTTTTAAAAAACCCTATGAGCTAGAGCCTAGATGTTTAGCATGAAACATCTTATGGTGTCGACCAAGTTTGTTCAAATAAAAGCCCTTGTATAAAAATTGGCCATGCCGGGGTGGGGGGTGGTGCAGAGGTCTTTGTTTTACATTATATGTGTGTAGTAAAAACTTAACATCATGAAACATCTTCTAACGGGTGTCTTACAAGTTTGGTCAAATAAAAGCCCTGGGTTTTAAACTGGCCCCGCTCCAGGGGCCTATATACACATGGCCCTCTTGTTCAACAATCTTGTTGAAATATGTATGAACAAATCTTTATCAACTTCAAGCTTTTATTGAAGGAATTTGAAATAACTTGGCAGAAATGATTGTTATAATAAGACAATGAGTCATGTCAACAACCAGACCCCTACTTCCAGGGTCAAGGTCGCACTTGCTCATTCAAGGTCAACTTGTCTTTTTGAGAGTATATCTCGTGTCTGGTCTTCCCTATCTCTAAAGGGATTTTGTTAATTCTTGCCACAATTGCTCACAATAATGAGAAGATGTGTCATGCTCAACAACAGGTCACCTGCCTCCAAGGTCAAGGTCACACTTGGAGGTCAAATATTAGCATAGCCTGTTACAGGGTATATTTCGTGTCCGGTCCATAACTTTGTCATTTATTGAAGGAATTTGAAATAACTTGGCACAAATGTTTGTTATAATAAGACGATGATGTGCAACAACCAGACCCTTACCTTCAGGGTCAAGGTCACACTTGCTCATTCAAGGTCAACATTGTCCATTTGAGGGTATATCTCGTGTCCAGTCTATACCTTTCTTATCTTTGAAAGGATTTTGTAAATATTTGCCGCAATTGTTCACAACAATGAGATGATGTGTTATGCGCAACAATCGGTCACCAACATACAAGGTCAAGGTCACACTTGGAGGTCTAAGATTAACATAGCCTGTTATAGGGTATTTTTTTTGTCCGGTCCATAACTTTTTTGTATATCAAAGGATTTTGAAAACACTTGGCACAAATATTCACTATAATAAGACAATGTGTCAAGCGCAACACCTGCATCCCTACCTCAAAGGTCAGGGTCACATTTCGAGGTAAAAAATTAACATAGTCTTTTAAAGGGTATATATTGTGTCCAATGTAGAACTTCTTCATAGTTCAAGGGATTTTGAAATAACTTGGCACAAATAGTCACAATAATAAGACGATATGTCAATTACAACACCTGCACCCCTGCCTCCAAGGTCAAGGTCACACTTACATGTATAAAGGTAACAAAGTCTGTTATATGGTATATTTTATGCCCCGTCCATAACTTCTTCATAGATGAAGGGATTTGGAAAATACTTGGCACAAATAGTCACAATGATAAGATGATATGTCATGCACAACACCTGCACCCCTACCTCCAAGGTCAAGGTCACACTAAGAGGTCAAAGCAGGGATTTTTTCCAGGATTTTGGGAACATAACCCATACCCATGCAACTGAGAATTTCAGCGATATTTTGTTAAAATTGGGAAAAAATGTATGACTGAAAGTTTGCAGTGATTAAATGTATGCAAGCAATCACTGCCTAGTATGGCTTCTTCAAACATTTAAACACTATTAAAGTAAAGAAGCCCTTATTTTCAAAGATTTTAGAATTCTTTATTCAATATTTATATTTTTGTAACTTTCAATTGGGAATATTTTCCTTTGGATTGGGAAAATAATATACTATTTTCAATTGGGAATATGTCCCAATAACGGCTATAAAATAAGCCAAAAAATCCCTGCAAAGCATAACATGATATATTTTGAAATTCAGTATTTCATTTGATTTCTTTAATAAAATTATTGTTGCATTTGCAGATCCAGCATTGATCATAATTTTGGACTGAAAATCATTAGATCCCTGCCTCAATCTTTTGAAATAGCACAATTTTTTGCTTCATATAAAACTTCCCTGAGGCGGGGGACGTTGGTATCTCTGTTACAAATTCTTGTTTATTTTACCAACAAGTGTTCACTTTCAAACTTTTGATCATTGTATTTTTTGTACTACCTTTTGTATAATGTTGTATTTTATTTATGTTCTTATTCTAAGATTAGCATGGCCAACTCATGAAAGTCCAAATGATGGTCAACTTTTTTTTTGTTTTTTTTTTTGGGTTTTTTTTTTTTAACATTATTTACTTTATTTTTACAGTGTTCCTCTGAATCATACATTCTGTTTTAGTTAAACATGCACTTCTTGTTACTTATTTTCCCATACTTCATATTACATTGATCACGGTTTGATGTGATGGCTCATAAAATTGTAACAATATCATTCTTTGTACTTTACCTAGTAATTTATGAAAACAGAAATGCTCTTGTAAGCTAACCAATAAGATTTGTACACCTTTTAAGGATTCAATTTATAACTGGTATATTCAACAATATATCAAAACACAGGTCAAGTATGATTTCAGTTACATTCCACAAAATTTATACAACATTATGCATTCCTTACCAAATCATATGCAAAAAAAAAATGATTTATAACTGATAATATTTGAATGCTTTTGAAATCTATAAAGATTTTTCATATAACTCTGGACAAAATTTAACAGTCTTCAGTGAGTTGGAGTGTAGTATGAAAAATCAGGTGTCTGTTGCAAAGATCAAGGTCACTACTTTAGATCAAAAGTCAAATAATAACTTAAAACATGAGAGTATATTTCTATATACATGGCTGGATTTTCATAACATTTATCACAAATGCTCACTTATGTATACATCTTTCTCCCCAAGCTGAAGCTTTAAGGTTCAGTTCTGAATAATGGCAACAGGCTTGATATATGCTGCCAGTGGGCTTGTCTAATTATGTACATATTTTGATTACCCACTCATTATAAGCATTGTACTTAACGCAAGCATTCAAGTCCTATGGGCACATTTCTACTTTTGACTATATTTTGTTGTATAATGTCAGTCTTGTACATTGTAAAAAATCCTTAAAACAGCACCTCCTATATTACTGGCCGTTTGCATTAAAGCTTCTTTCTTTCAGATTGTTATAAATTGTATCACCTCAATATGTACCAATAATTTAAAGGGACTCACTCCATTGAGGTTTAAAAGCCTAAAACATAACATTTGAATTTCTACAGAAATGAGCCGGGGCACTTGATACAGAAATATATGCACAGATAGTGAAGAAATATACTTTGAAATGAATTGAAAATCAATTTTTTTTTATGCTTTTCTCAGCCTGATCTGCGTGATATGTGTTTAAACGCTTTCATTTTGGGTAATTTTTTTACAATTTGAATAATTATTCTTGAAAAACGAAGTGTGCAAATGATCTGAAATTTTTCTCAAAGATTAGTGGTCAAAACATACATCAAGTGGTACATTAATCTAGAAAAATAAATTTCATTCTCATCATGTCAAAAAACCTCAGTGGAGTTCCTTTTACACATTTTATCTGACAAACTAAATTTCATTATCTCCATATATTTAATCATTTATTTTTTATATAACATATATTTTTACTTTTATGCAAGTTTTGACAATAAAAGTTTATTTTAAATCATTGTTCTTTGTTTTGCTATGACTTTAACAGCATGTACATCAATTTCATACTAAAACACAATTAGTTATGTTAGAACTTACAAATGTAAGCACATGATGAGCTTTTCTTGTCCTTGAGTTTAAAATAAAAAGTCTCTTCATTAACTATGATTAAATAATGCTTATGGCATGGTCTTGAATTCCTATGAAGTAGTCATATAAGTCATGGCCGATTTAGGTCAAACTGAGTGGTTCTTTGTGTGCATAAATTAATGCAGTAGTATTATCTATTAATTCACTAATTACTATTTTAGTAACAGAATTGCCTATGATTTCAACTGATTATGAGTGTCACAACTTATGGGTTTGGGGCCCTGGGCAAAGAACTAGTTATCAGCCCACTGAACATGAGTAGTGCAAAAACGGAAACAATGACGTCACATTTTACGTCATCAAATCAGCTAGCTGTAGATTGAAGCTTGCACATATTCCTTTGTTTTTAATTCACACGCATTAGGTATTTCTATGAAAATTTCCTTCCAACAGTACTTTCAGTGCTTTGATTGACTTTTGTGATGATAACCAGTCAACTAAATATCTAAATAATGGTAAAACTAGAAGTTTAACGATACATGCCCATCCAAGGGTATATAGTGAGTGAACGGGTGAAGATCAAAATAAGTTTTCATTTTGCTATAATTCCTTTTAATTTGATAATTAAGTTCACATAAACAAATGAACAATAATTAACGCACAGATCCAAACGAAATGTCTGTAGATATCCATAAGAATTTACCCATAAGCTTCGTTTATAAAAAGAGTGAGACAGTCTTTTTAAATTTTAGACAGATTGATAATTTTATCCGAAGCATTTTCCAATACAAACACTTGGTCAAACACCATTTTTACAGTCAATCTTTTGAAATATAAAGTCAATTCAGCTTAACTATGGATTTGCGCATAATCTCACTTTAAATACACAAGTGCACCTAACTTACAGAACAATGCTACTAAAAAGTGATCACCTGACCGCCAAAAGATTGATCATATGACTTGTTAATCCTTGGACATTTCAATAACATAGCAAGTTATGCTACCATGGCATTAGATAAATAATTTCTGAATTATGTAAACAACGAGTAGAGTTAGCTGTCTCCCTTTAACTTATTGACTATGCACACAACAACTGCACCAACTGAACTGCTCAAGTTCTAATTTTTAACCCTAAGCCCAGTTTGAAACCCGGATTATGCAATCTCGAATACTTCTAAGATATTTCGGATACCCTACCTCCTGGCCAAGATGAATGCCATCCCTTCTGAAAATACAATGTTTGGGATGCTTCCAGAACGTTAATGGCGACTCTGATGAGGCAACAAAATCATGCCCAAAGCCACAAAAAAGTCACAAAAATACTATAAGGAGGTCACTAAAAGTCCATATAATAGATGTAGGTGAATTGTTGATAAAAAAACTTGAATTCAGTAATCTAATCGGACCCCAAAGTGCGTTTGACCCCCAAAATGCGGTATTACTTTGCATAATCAAAAGATGGTTTGCTATAACAAAAACGTTTTAACTTTTTATTGCTCTTCAATACTGAATACAAATTCAATAAAGAATTTCAACAAACATATGGTTAATCAACCAAACGAGCAAAATGAAAGTGTCAAAAAAAACAAAACAACCGCTATCTCCAAGGACGGTCAAAAATTACTACAAACAAACATAAAAACGTTCGTAATTAGTTTGTGCACAAGTTGTATAACCTAAGATATTCAGCTTGAAAAATGCTGATATAACAAAATGTATTTGAAAATTTCAAAATTTCGAAAGAATCCCAGTATTATCACAATTTGTTAGACTAGGTTTAAAATTGTAAATGACCCTTAAATATCTTATTTTAAGCTTTTAAAATGTTCGATATAATAATAAAAAGACAAGAAAAACAAGGCCAATCATATTTTCTTCTATTCAAATATATCATCCAAAACATTTCTAATGTGTTTGCATATCAAATTTTATGTCATTCTCCACGGTACCGTTTTATTTTATTTTTTTCAAAGTAATTTCCACGTTTGTATTATTTTAACCAATTGTTTCATAAAAATCAAACTAAAAAATTTTGCTGATAGACTCTGTTAGTATTGTGCTGATAGGAGAATCATGAAAACTGGATTTTGCTTAAAGTGAATTGAGAGTTATGTGTACAATTAGAATATGTTGATAGTGTTATGTACCCTTGAATTATACATGAAAAACAAAAAATGAAAATATTGTAAATAACTGTTGTTGGTATGATCCGGTATAATTTATCAATGTATAGCATATAATGAACAAGTTATTATTATTTACTGTAAAATTGTTTGTAGAAAATCACTGAAAACTCTGTCAACATCATTTTTTAAAGAAATATTAATAGTATCAGAGTCATACATTTATTTAGATATTTGGAATAAAACCTAATTGAAAATGTGCCAATTGTAGACAAATCCACTTAAAACTTACTAGTTGTACAAGCAAGTTAAATGATCGCAAACAATACAACTGTCGGGAGATCCCTTCACATATCATATTATTGTACATATTTTTGTAAATTTTCAACATGCGTGAGAATGCAGTTACTGAAAATCACTAAAAATTTTATGAAAATTATCTATTATACACACATAAAAATACAAATTAATCATACGGCAAATGTTTTATGTTTGTACTTAAGATTTCAATGTTGACTGCAAAGACGATTTGTCAAAAAACAAATATGAAGGCAGTGGCGTATATGAGATAAAACTACTAAGCTCGGAAGTGATTAATGTGTATTGTGAAATGACAATCGATAGGGGTGTTTGGACGGTATGACAAATTTTTGTTGTTGTTTTTGTATTGTGATATGACAACAATTATGTTTGGTTGGACGGTATGATAGCTTTTTGTTGATGTTTTTTTGTATTGTGATATAAAAAACATAATGAAGTGGTTGAACGGTATGATAGCTTTTTGTCGTTGTTTTTATATTTTTACATGACAATAAAAAGGGGTGGTTAGACGGAATGACGAATTTTTGTTGTTTTTTGTATTGTGACATGACAACTTATAGAGGTGGCTGGACGGTATGACAAATTTTGTTGCTGTTTTTATATTTTGACATGACTACTTATAGAGGTGGTTAGATGGTATGACAATTTTTTGTTGTTGTTTTTATAATTTGCATGACAACTTATAGAGATGGTTGGACGTATGACACATTTTTGTTGTTGTTTTTATATTTTGACATGACAACTTATAGAGGTGGTTGGACGGTATGGCAATTTTGTTGTAGTTGTTTTTGTATTGTGACATGGCAACTAATAGAGGTGGCTGGACGGTATGACAAATGTTTGTTGTTGTCTTTATATTTAGACATGAAAACTTATAAAGGTGGTTGGACTGTATGACATATTTGTGTTGTTGTTTTTGTATTGTGACATGAAACCTGAAAGAGGTGGTTTGTCCGTAAAATTGTTTTCTGTAGAGGTTTTCGGACTGTATGTGAAATATTGTGATGTTTTGTTCGAGGTTATGGAACAGTTGTGCTAAAATTTGATATCAAAATGGCACATTGTAAGCATCAGCCTGAAATTAGAAAAATAATACAATTGAGAGGATTGTGCACTGTGCATAAATGGCAATTATTATCCGCATCTTCAGTAACCAAGAAGTAAAAATGTTTTGAACTATTCCATGAAAGTCCTTTAGATAGTTCTTTACATTGTCGCATAATCGGTAATATTATTGTTATATATACTAAATTTGCATACCGTCTTCTGATAAACTACACATTACTTTTTTCGTTTAGCACCGTTTAATTAAATATGCAGTGGTTGAGTATATTAAACAGTCATATTTCGCTGAAATTTTCCATCTGTAGTTAAAGGTTATCCAAAAGAAGTTGGGCGGAAATACATATTTCAATAAAAACTTTGAGGCGTATGAGAATGGGTTCGGTGACTTAGATAGAGACTTTTTGAATGATATAAAGTTTTGATTATTGTAGTATAGAAAAATTATACTTTTACTAATTTTTGTATAACTATTACTCTGCATCGATTGTTTCAGAAATTTTTAAGTAATAATTCAACCTGATGTTTTGGTAAGTGTAAAATTAAGACGTATGTTATTAAAAGAAACCTAATTTTGATCTACTGAAGATTTTACTAGTATTGAATTTTAGTTTTCAAGAAACATAATATGCAAAAAAATTGTGTTTTATTATTTTTTTATTCGTAATTTCAAAAACAAACTTCTTTATTATGTGTCCTTAAAATTATTTTTTTTTTTTTTGGATTAGCAGGTGGTCATATATATATAATAACTTGTATGTATATATATATATATATATATATATATATATATATATATATATATATATATATATATATATATATATATATATATATATATATATATACTCAAACTTGATGAAATAGTGGGTCCAAGTGGCATCACTACTTATTGGGTCCACCCATTTCCAGTAACTCTAGAGACAAACGAGATGGTGTAGTTTTTAAAGGTTACTCCCCTTATACTATATATAGCTTCAGATTCACGATAACTAAATGCAAAAACTATATATCGCACATTGTAACATTTTACACCAGACCTCGTATCTGGGTCTTTATGACCCAACTATTTATATGTTTATACATGTATATATAACGTAATGACCCAACAGTTTCTTATTCATATATTTCATTTTATACACAAATTTGATAAAAAAGTGGGTCCAAGTGGCATCACTACTTATTGGGTCCACCTATTTCCAGCAACTCAGAGACAAACGAGATGATGCAGTTTATAAAGGTTACCCCTCTGATATAGTGCGTTCCAATTCACTCACCTAGGCGGGCGGAGCTTCGTCTCAGTCGATCGCATTCATTTAACAGGGTTAACAGTTAGCTGACAATATTCAATGCACGTATCTGGTATATTACGAAAATCTACGATTGTATAGATTAACCTATTTTTCGGATTGTCCTCATTTACAT